GTTCTCAAAATGTAGGAAATTCGTCAAAGCATTATGTGAAAAGGACTTGAACTATGTCGTAATTTGCAGTATCGTTTTTTCTTGTATTGGTTTTATTGTTTGGATGTCGTAATTTGATGTAAATAAATTTAGGGTCATTTGCAATAATAACAAAAAAAAATATATAATTAGGAAACTAGAAAAACTTTAGAGAGAGAGATACGAAGAAATAGTGAAAGAAAAAAGAGGATTTTGGTTAATTTGTATATTATAGTTTTTTTGTTGTATTTTTAGCAAATAATTTCATAAATTTATTTTGGTTGGATGGATGAATTATGCAAGCAGACAAAAACTAGTAAGATATATTATTGGTAAACTGTAAAGGGATTCCTACCAACTGGTAAAGGAGTGAACGACAAAAATTGGGGAAAAGTGAATAAATTTTAATAAAACATGGAGCTGTCTGTAATATATGATACGTCATTTGGACCCATGTGACTTGATAAGTGCTGTTTTCAATTGTCAATTGCGTTAAGATTTTTGAGTCCTTATCATAAACTGGCATCTATATATAAGACAATGTATAAAAGACCCAGACCAATCTATATATAATATTGTCAATTTAAAAATCAATAAAACTTAATACGATATCAAAATTTCGCTTTGTTGCATAGACTAAATACTCGATCTAACTTCCTCATCTACTGGTGTAAACTCATCATTTTCCATAATAATATCACTATTTTAGACTTTCTAGTCTAGATTTACAAAATAACTGATCAACGCGTAATTAGCAGCCAATCTTTTGTTACAACTTAAAATGATATTCATGTTTGTGAAATGTAGTATCATGATCATCCGTTGGAGATTACGCAACCAGGGGGAGTTGGAAACATCTGAATATACTCCGATATATCTATTAAAGATCTAATCCCTTGCTTATCGAATTCAAACACGAGAATGCTTTCATGTTCATATAAGTTAGATCCTCCCCAAATGTCCATGGAAGATTATAGAATTAGCTCTAAACCCCGGAATCTCACTAGCCAAGCATGAGAAGGAGCAATGATGCTCCAAGAACAACACGCGACCATCCACATCTTCCACTTGGTCCCAATCGTTTCTCTCCTCGTCTAACTCTGATATTTCGAACCATATCTTCTTCTCACGGATGTTTGGTATGTGAAAATCGTATCGGTTCTTTGTGCACATCTCTACTAGAAGGAGTTTGTCCCTTGACGTTACAAGCTGTTGAAAACATAAGTAACAAATGAAAATGAAAATGACCCCGAAACTCGATTTTGTTCCAAGTTTTTTCCCAAGAAACTCAAGTTTAAGCTTAGGAACAAAGGATTTTAAAATGATAATATCCTTACCCAACGTTTTCTTGTCTTATCACAAGGTCTGGACCGTTGAAACGTATTCACTTCTAGAGTTGGTTCTGCCACTGTTGTTTTCCCGGTGTGACGATCTATCGCGTAAAACTTACCTTTAAACGAAACTATGCCTTCAAAAAACGAATCGGGTGTTATCTCAAGGTCAGTCCAACGCTCATCGACAGATCTATACATTGCGAGCCCCTGGAATGAAAGCCTCCCGAGGATCATAAACCTGTTGTTTTCTTTGCGTCTAAATCCATAAAGCCGATACGTTCTTCACCTTTCGAAACGCATTCGAATGGTTCGGACCATTCGCTGTAACAAGCCGCGTGTTCTTGCGCTAGCTCAAAGACTTGACAGTTGAGCAAATCAAGTGAAAGACTTCGGTACAGACATCCATACTCAGAGGAGTTTCTTCTTAAGAACAAACTATGTAGAACAATTTCTCCATTCTCTTTGACTTGTAGCTTAAACAACCTGACAGGTAGGTACATATTCTTATCTAAGTATCATCAAGATTCAATAATTCATTCAAAGGAAGGAGATTTACTACCAATATCGGGGACAGTCACGATTAGGAGAGTTGAGAAGGTAAACACGGCTGCTCAAGATATGGCAATCATCACCACAACCGCCAGAGTCCAAGGGAAGAGGACATCTAAGTGATGTCATGTGTTGGAATTTAAGGAGACTAGAGGATCGCCAAGAGGAACATATTGACCGAAAGTGGATCAAATCAAAGGGATTGTTGATTTGCAAGGAGATCGAGTGGAGGATCTCCGTCGGCAACGCGGACCAATTCGCCATTTCTTTACTCTGGACTTGATCTGAGAATACAGAGGAGCTAAAATGTCTAAAAACTAAAACGTGTTGACTTTCTCTGTTATTTCTTGGTTAAGGAAATGCGTTGACTCTCTAGCTTCACGTGTAGCCCAAGATGTAACAAGTGGTACTTATTCCAAAACTGAAGCTCACAGATCATATATATATATGGTATAAATGGCTTAATTTCAATGCTTGTTTGAGGAGAGTAACCCAGAGACTTGAACAAAATAACACAAAGATGCATCGTCAAGAATCAATTGAAAAACATCGAATAACAGGAGATCGAGACTTCATCTACCAGTCTCCAACAAGCCAACATTGAATTTGTCAGAAGTTACTTCATGTTTGACTGGTGAGGACAGTTCCGTTGATCTGCAAATTTTGCGGTTGAATTTGTTTCTTGTTGCTTTCGGGGATTTTACTACATTATCAAGATTCTTTTCGAGTCGGTTGTTTTGGTTTCTGCCGGCTTGAGAGGTGTCGAAGCGAATAATAATTCCCTCAACTGCCCCTCAGCATTGTGTACTGATGTTGCCTGCAATACAGAGTTCTCAAGTCACATTAATCTGAGTGATACTGTTATGTCAGTTTCACAGGTTTGATTTAGTCTTGTGATAATCAATCCTATGTATCATCGATCACTAAACAGAGACTAAGAAGATAGAAAAGGAAAATCGATGTACCTTTCTCAAGAATGCAAACCGTAATGTCTCAATTTGCATTCCCGAGCAAAGCCTGAGTTCGAAACCAAGTGAATCTATCCCAATGAGCTTCACTTCCTACATTGTAATATCGTACGTATATATATCATCATGGCAATATTGTCCTCAAAGCCAAAGAACTACTTGTCAAAACTTTAGTAATTACCTCTGCTTGAATCCCGTTATGTCTCCAACACAGAGATTTGAGGGCTTCAGTTAGTTTATCGCCATCTTCTTCTAGACCACTCACGATACCGTCTGATGCAAGAGCAATAGCATCAGGTTGTGCTTTCCTGACAGCTTCCGCTTCCACTTCAGTCTGTTCAAAAGCAAAAATACACAACCAAGGAAAAGCTTGAGCGTAGATAAGAATCAATACTCAAAACTGGGAATTACCAAATATACGAACCAAACAGTACACGCTTGACACAATACAGTCTATTAATAGAAGAAGAGTGACTTAATCGTCAACCTGATGGCCTTGTGCCGTAATGAGCTGGATTCTTATCATCTCCAGCTTGTAATACGATATGGCATTTCTCGAATCTTCAACCTGCAATGTCTCAGATTCATCCCCACTTGGTGTACAAATGTCTTCAAGTTTCTCTTCTGAGTTTTCTCCCTCTTTGTTTTCGTCAGGACTTGTAGACTTGGGATCAGAGATATGCTTTTGGATATCTGAGGGATCTTTCACAATGACACGACTCAAGAGCCCCTGGATAGCAAGACCAGCAGAGGGCTGCTTCATCCAATTTGCAGGATCATTTGAAGCAACCTAATTTAAACAAAAGAAAATGAAGTTTTTATGATCTTTCACATGGTGGATATTTCATAGATCAGTTTTGGGACTGCAAGTAACCTCGGCCATTCTCCTGGCGAAATACATAGGATGGCAAGTTCGCATTGTTTCCAAGTTTGCCCAATCTCCAAGTGATTCATCAGAATCTGAAATATAATCATCGTCTTCACTTCCATCTGCTAGAACAGCAACCCATTCCTGAAGTCACAGTCACAGTAACTTGTGAAGTTTTTTAATAACTGAGCACAAAAGATTAAATAATTTTATCAAACCTCGTCTTCTTTGTTTTCTCTTTCATCCTCATCCCCCTTGTTTTCATCCTCTACTTCAGTTATGCCATCTTCGATTTCTTCAATTCCAAAACCAATACCAGAAGGACTGTTCAGCTCCATGTCCTTGATCATCTCCATCGTATCAAAACCTACTATTACTTGCTGCATTGCATATGTAGCTTATTATAGCTCTAGCTCTTTACAAGTCAATACAGAGAGAACAATATCGTAAACTGTAACAAGATATGCATGACATTCCTGAAAAAGACAACATTACCACATAATTATTATCAGAAGTAACAACAGTCTGCATTATGTCTTCATTTTCCTTTACTTGAAAGTATATATCTGCAGTGCATAAGGGTGATTAAATTCAATGCTTGACAGCAATAAGCCAATCGAATCAATACGAAGAAAAGAAGAAAAAAAAAACTGTTTTTCTTACTTCCATGCTGATCTGTTACATAAGGTATATCCGGCCAAAGAATATTCTCATGAAGTCCAATACCAAGTAAACCTGAAAGCATCAGGGTTCCTTTTCTGTTCACCTGAACAAGACACACTACGGGAAATGTCAGATACGCAAAACAAGGTCTGGATCAACAAGCAAAGTAGAGTCAAACTGGAAATGGTCGAACATATAAGATTATACTAACATGTGACTATAGTTAATAAGAAATTGGTCCTACAATTTTGTTCACCAGAAATTTTAACTTATGTTGATTAGAAGATGACATATAATACCTCAATGATGGTTCTAGCAGTTTCTGGAGGTGGAAGCCTAGAATCTCCAGGATTCTCTGGCACATATGCTCTGATTTCTTCTGAAGGATGATAACTTGGCTTCTTTCGATCTGAAGCTGAACCCAAATACTCTGCTATGGCTTGAATCCTATTCTTCCGGAGGCATTTTCTCGTAAAATGGTCACCTTTACACTTCAGAAATCCACTCCTAGTAGCATGCACATAAACCCCATTTGAAATCTAGTACATTACAAATGAAAACTCAAGTATAACACTGACATCTTACAATGTTATTCTAATACTTGAAACTCATGAGTGGGCATCTTTAGCATTCTTAAAGCATCAAGCACTACCAGAAACACATATATTCATATTCTCCAGCTCAAGCTATGGTCTCTCAACTAATAGTGTGTATAAAACAGCACATCAACACATAAACATAAGTGAACATTTTTGGACCAAATTCAATGACAAATGCAAAAATCTCGACTTTGTTTCGAACAAAGGCATGTACAGTACCCAGCACTAGTGTTGAGCCGATGAGAATGGAGAATTTGGCGAGGGGCGACATGGAAGAAGCTTCCTTCATCCTCTATGTTGGCTACAGGACGATACTCTGCAAGCAAAACACAAGTATTTTGTTCGGATTCAATATCAAGTAAAAGGAGAAACACAAAATTTCGAGATTAAAATTCAGGTGAAAAGAGAACAAATTTCATAAAAT